GTACCTCAGACTTTTTCATAATGCTACTGCACACTTAATAGACTAAGAAAAAAAAAAACAAAAAACTCACTGCCGTCGAGTCAGATCCAACTCAGCGGACCCCTCCTTGGGTTTCCAAGGTGGTATCTCTACGGAAGTAGATTGCCCAGCCTTCCTTGCAAGGAGTTGCTAGTGGTTAGCAGTCAAATGCCTTAGATACTACGCTCCTGGTGGTCCTTCATAGACTACAGTCTAGTGTAAATATAACTCCTCAATGCCCTGGGAAACCAGAGTATTCGTGTGATTTGCTTTATTGGAATATTTGCTTTCCTGTAACGGTCTGGAGTCAAATCTGCAGTATCTCTGAAGTACACCTATAGTTGAGAAAATTTAAATGTCTTGCTGCTACTTGGCCGTATCCTAATTTTCAAATAAAATTAAATATACACAAGTATGAATCTCCTTGATGTATTTTCTCTTTTATTCTCAGGTTTGAGAAACGAATTTATATTCCTTTGCCGGAGGCCCACGCACGAGCAGCAATGTTTAAGCTGCACTTGGGAACCACTCAGAACAGCCTGACAGAGACAGATTTCCGAGACCTGGGCAAGAAAACGGATGGTTACTCAGGGGCAGATATAAGTGTCATTGTGCGTGATGCACTCATGCAACCTGTGAGGAAGGTACAGTCAGCAACTCATTTTAAAAAGGTAAGTAACTGACTCTGCCCTCTCAGATTTGTGGTTAAAATTGAGTTTGGAGACCATATTGGTTTCTCTTCAAAGGATTTTAGAGGGCTGTCAATTTTGTGTAATCGCACAGAAAATGGGCTGTGTAATCGAAGTAGTTCATTTTCATTGAAAATAAGTTGTCAAACTAAGTTTTATTACTAGACATTATTAATAGTCCTGAAATGTCCTACAGTTTCCTGTGGAATGATTTTTGAAGTATCTCTGTATTAGTACTTACTTCAGTGTGGAAACAGATCATAATGAAGCTGCCTTTGGTGAAAACAGAACATCCTTGATCCGAATTGGGCACGTCCACAGGTCGTTAACACAGAGAAAACAGTGACAGCTAATGTTCTTTAAAGGTTTAAAGTGGAGTGTTTGTGTCTCCATCATCACTCCTGAGATTAAAGTTGATCATTGTAAAACAAGTATTAAAAGTGAAAGTGGCCCCCAATTTGTTACACATCTTGCAAGCTAAATATGTGTGTGTTACCATGTCACATAGGTTCCTTCTCTGGATAATGTTAAAGCTTGTTATTTTAAATATAATCACAAGATGGTGCTGAAATTGCATTCAGC